CTACACTTCTGAATACGTTGCCCTTGGCATTTCACGGTGGACGAGTTTCGTTGTACAAATGAAACATCTGACAATCTTAAGAACTTTCTAGAAAACCGTTTCATGTTTTTCATTCACAATATTTTTCAATCAAAGGACTATTCACATTAAAATCTGTTTACAACTTCAATGTGCACATGTGTTGTCAATGAACGCATGATAAACAAGAATAAAAGTGTTAATACTAATACGCAAATACTTTTACGTCATAGTCCTCTTGACGGTCGCCGATCGCACAGTAATTAAGTCGTAGACACGTTCATTGATCACCTTAGTCATACATACTCCGAGGAATGTACAGCCATAATTTAAGCCATTTTTCAATAACATTAATTCCAAATCACGGAGTAGCGAAAGCATTTGGCAAATGAAAAAGGAAAGTGGTGTGCGGCAGGTGCGCGCGCGCATCGCGAGGTGAGCCCTTCCAGGGCGAGGGAATGGAATGCGACTATTATTAGAGGAGTCGGCGCCGGCGCACGCCACCGACCTTATGATACAGGGTGCTATGGGAATTCTTAAAATTGTCTGAGAATTCTAAAATGTTTGAAATTTTAGCCTCGCGATATATTTTTACCTGGATTCTTGATCAGAATGCAAAAAAAATATTAGTTATAGGATTGATTTTATTGTAAGAACAACAGATACCGCCGATGCTAAAGGATCGATTACGGCGTGGAATTGACGTTTACTATAGAAGGAGATTAGTTATTTTACCTACAACAACTTTGGATATGTTATTACATTATCACATTCTTGTTCGAAATGATCATTTCTTGTTACTGTTACTAAAAACTGTTAGGAATCAAATTACATGTCTGGCAGAAACTCATATTGGATATTCAGTTCGTACTGTTTCTGATTAGAACACACTCCATCCTGTATCCATGAGACTAGAGAAGTGCACGTTATCGGTGGATGCTGTGGGCATCGCTGCGCCGGCGCCGCGCTCCGCCATTGTTGAGCCCCCTCCACCATGCTAATGTTCCACCCAGCCGTAATGTCCGATACTCGCGCTCAGATACAATAACAATAAAATAACAGATATTGGCCAATACGAATTATGTTTTAATTTTAGTTCTTCGCCAAGAGCTTTGCGTTTCCTTTTATATTAACTTGAATTGTTAGCGAGAATGCCACAGAACTATAAAGTTACGATAATTTACATCGAACAGTCCCACTGTCTATTATGAGAGCTCCAAACTTGCCAAGATTGGTATTCTTAATAGCTCTGCGTTAATGATATTCATTAATCCTGAAACAAACTTCCACATTCCGATCGCCGTAGCAACCAGACGAAACCGACCGAATGGTGTTAAACGACTAGATCAGGAAAGGCAAACGGTTCTAGATACTAATAATAAGCGAATTTCTCAGGAACCGCTCGTAAGTTCACACCTCGAGGATCACGTTACTGGTGTTTGGTCGTTAGCGCCGCCATTACCGCTGTACGGGTAAAGAAGGACATTCATGGTACGTGGAATATGTCGGTGTAAGGCTAAACTCTGATGGCTACCGTGATTGTGGTCTTTCTAAGAATTTGTTTTTTCATTAGCATTAAAACGAAGAAACTTTACTTGGTTTCAAATGAAACATCTATACGACACAAGATTCCTCATTCAATTACCCTTGAGAGTCATCAGATACGAAAACAGCTAATACATCCCAATCAACCAATTCCAGTTGTAACATTTTTACTTATGAGCAATGCGGAAACATTCGTGGGCCAAATACTCCATACAAGAATTTTGACGAGCGCTTACGTTGACGACAAACTGCGTGTCGGCGTGATTTAAACGAAATGTGTACTGTGAACAGGGCTCTTAACTTAGGTGTAGGCGAATAAATCTGGGGAACGGGCCGTTAAGGGGCAATTGTGCGTCGCCGAAACGGCGTCCGTCGGCAATTTGTCGCCCGACTACCGCCAGACGCAAGTAGGAAACGACTGAAATGTCTGCTGGGATTAGGGCTGGGTTCTATGACACTCTCAGAGTTCGTAGGCTTACAGATCTTCTACCTACACGTATTATAAACATCAAAGCGACATCGAACTGCGTTACATTAACATTCGTAATTACAGAACCTTTAGAACTTGCTCCGTATATTTTCGCAGTTAAAACAAAAATGAGGAAGAAGGCCTTCAAGAATTCTGTTAACAGAGAAAGTCGTAGCAACCAGTTTTCTCAGTGCAGTCTTTATCGCAGTGTTTACACTGCAAGATAATTAGATAAAACTGACAGTAATAGATTACATTTTCCTTTGCCTTTTGATAAAAAAATTAACATTGGAAATTACATTACATTGTTATAGACATCCTTGGAACTGTGAAGTAAGCCAGGACTGTAAGGATTCGTTATACGAGGACAAACAGTTCTACTTCACGCTGCTGGTTAAATTATTGTGTGTTAACACAGTACTAACGTCAAAACTATACTTAAAAGCGGATAAAATTTGGTATGTAAGGCCCTAGCCACGACGGTTGGACGACGGTCTGATAGGCTGGCAACGCATGCCATATTCACACAAGACTCTGTTGACAGGACTGGTGTTGGCACCGCGTTAAGCTGTGTAACATGTTACATAACGAGAACATTAACATGCCGCCGCAACATGCAGCAATTAGTTGCCAGGGAACCGTGAACAATATCGTGAATCAATAAAACCTGCCACTATTTCATGTCAAGACCCAAGGAAAATGAGTAATGATAAGTGGATTACAAGCGTTCACGGCAACTGCTAAGTAGCTTCGCGTAATATTCAATTAAACAGATATGTTCTTCGGAGAAAAGTATCAATTTGCGACATCGGATTGTATTGCAAGTTTATATGCAAACACGATTCCATAAAATGATTGAGATTATATTATTTTGCTAAAGATGGCCGTATGAATTCATACTGTATAATAATTCCTGTGCCAAAGAGCCCCAAATTGCAAAACAAATAAGATACAGCTGCTCAAATTGCAAGCACAATGTCCAGTTTACGTTGCAAAATGCCTTACCAAACCTACTATTACCAATAATTATAAGTGCAGGCCAAATGACCATACTCTCACAAGTCGATTATTAAAAAAAGTGCACATGTACCAGTGTTACCATCCAAACCGACCGTTAAGTGTTGCTTAACAGTTTTTTGCGGTAATAAAACCAACATTACTGTCGATTTGCGAGTGTACATTATTTAACGACTCAATCATGTAATAAGGCTAGACCACAGTAAATACAAAACAGTATCTTAACTGGACTATTATCTCATAGCGGTAAGGTCATCAGCAAACCCCTCATACGAGTTGCTTCGTTCTTGGGCTATCAAATCCATACTCAATTGTTTATCGTCAAAACTTAGGAAGCGGTTTATAGTTTCCTCTTTGAGATTGTCAATTCGGAGTTGCTTTACTGTTGGTTATATCACTGTGGTTGGAACATGTCTGACACTGTTATCTTTTGGACGTCACCTGTAATTAGGGTCAAAATGAATGGTCTTAAAATTTTGTTGACATTTCACATTAAACTTATTTGTGGTTCACTTAAGATGATGTTTGGGAGGTCGGAAATCGAGATTGCCGAAATGTCTAAATGTCGTGGAAAACTTAATAATTATAAGAAGTGTCATAAGTATAAGTATGTCGTGACATTGTTGTGTATTGTCGAATTTTGTAAAAAAGTGTAGTAATATATTGCTCAATATTGTATTTTGAAATAGGTAATTCCAACCCATATTTTACATACATGATACTTTCGAATTCGCTGATAAATAGCAGATCAAAAATCATATTTGTCAACATTACGCCAACTTTATAATTTGATATTCAAATAAATTGATCAACATACCATATTTCACATTGAGTTGACATTCAGTGGGCAGGCAATGTACAATAAATAAATAATTTTATTTAAACACCGCACAAATAACATCAGTCCAAGTAATGATGAATAAATGTCCGGTCAATTGAAGCCACTAATGGAACTTGAAGATGCTTTACTTTTTTAATTGACTTAACAAGTACATGATTCAGAAAACTAATTATAGAGTAAATATTTCAAACTAAAATACGGACAATAAAATGATGTGAAAGACCTCATAAAACTGAATAAAATTTATGATCGTTAAATGGTTGGCTTGTCCTTTGGCACTGTCGCCAGCACTTAATATTTATGCATTATAATTGTGTGGGCAAGTGGCGCATGCGCCAATTAAGCAAATCGATCTATCATAATCATATCTAACGTATTAATAGAGAGCGGTGAGCGGCTGCGCCCGCGCCATGCAAATGTTGCGCGAAACGTGTCAGGGAGACTCAAGTGTTGTCGCACTGCTTTATGATTGTCGCAAGCACTTATTCCGACCTCAACCAACAGATAATAATTATCTTTTACTATACAGTGACAATAGAATTAATACAGTTTAAATTACTTCATCCGTTATTTTGGTACACCACCAACGGCTTTACCCAGAGCTTTCCCTCTCAACAAACGGCACTAGTACAATGTCCAGACACTCGCTAAAACCCCATAACTAATAATGACAACATAAAGTAGTGCAAGAGTTTCATTTTACCATTCCAATTTCCTTCCTTTGTGTAACTGTTTGTACTTTTGTGGTTCCCAATGCTATTTTCCTTAGTGTCGTTATGACATACCGGGCAATATTAATCACAGTAGAGCTAGTACGCAGCAAATTATAGACTTAAGTGAAAATAATTACATCGTGTGAACGATAAACACCATACAGATCGTAGAAACACTTTCCACGTTACGTAACTTTTTTTTTATAAGACCAAAGGGCTCACGCGCCTTTTCTTTTATGTAAGTAAAATTGCTTATGGAAAGCGAAGGACTGGGCATTGTACTCGCGGTATCTTTGTCAGGCCATCTTGAGAGGATGATACGACTGCCTATAAAGATAAATCTATGATGTCGTATAGCAATAAATTTTATATTGCTGTCCAAACTGAAATATAATAAATGTGCTCCAACCTCCAACACCACTCTAAACTAAACCGCACTAAATGTCTGCAAGTTACAAACGCGTCGTATAAATTCGATCGGTACAAAGCAGTTAATAATGGCGAAGATAATTTTAATGGCTGTTGTAATACACACGATTGTAATGAAACAAATAGATTCGAGTGGTTTTTCAAACGTAAACCGTGTGGAAGCATGTGTTAATGTAGTGGACACTTCGTATTCAAGAGTGGTGAACGTGTTTCGTGTGCATGTCATCCTGAATAGGCAAGCTTGCATTTATATTCTGATCGTAGAAACTTTGTATCCAGGTGTTTTACTTACAAATCATGAGATAATTCGGTATATCGATAATAAAGGACTCGTGCTGCATATTCTAGAGTTTCAAGAAACAATAAACTATGATGTGAAAGAATTGTACAATACAGTGCAAGTTATAAACTTCGATATAAATAAGCAAGTAGGTACTTTGGATCTAGAACAATAGAGCAGCCCACTTCAGTCGGTTCTTTCCCATGGATCTCGATCCACCGATTACCATTACGCAATAACTATAACTCTGAGGTTTTACATAGACAAGATCATGTGTTAGAAGTATTCCATATTGGTGCTTATTCAACTCGGCCGGTTTGCAATTCTAACTGAACTGCTTTGGTTTCTATCGTTGTATGCATATTATTTGTATGAAATAGATACTATTTATGTGTTTTATACAATTTATTATGGGATTTGATTCGTTTTAAGTGTATTATTATGGACAATCATTTTGAATCAAAACGGAAGCTATTTATTTATATAATTACAGATGGTGGTCAAGAAATCCTCGTCAATATGGAGTCAAACGCAGTAACAGCATAGATGAATATTCGATTACTTTTTGCGCAGCAGTCCGCCCTCACGTAGTTGAACGTGACCCGATTTTCAATAGAACTACTTACAAATCGCATATCGACAATTTTCTAGCCAGGTACATTAAAGTTAGTCATAACATTTTTAAAATAGAAGTATTGATGAAGAAACAAATGGAATTGTTTGAATTGGTGTGAATAACTCTCATGGTAATAGCATTCCAACAGAACAGCTTCATAGAATGGAAGTGAGCTGAACTAATTAAAGTGAATAAACAGGCAGGTTGCAACACTAAAGCAACAAACGTTCGGCCTAAACAATACCGGGGGAGAATGTAAACACATTGCAAATATGTTACTGAACAACTATTTCTATTATAGTACAGTTGACAGCATTAATCAGAGGTTATTGTTCTGTTGTACAAACATCTGTATGTTGAATATTAGGAATAGTTTTACTCACGCTAATGAGTGTTAAATCGGAAATTCTTTTGTGATTATATCTCTACAACTGCGTCTGTGACACTGTTTGATTTGTTATTAGGAATTCTGGAATCATGTTCTTTCATAATTTATTTGGCAATGACGTTATGTGCAGACGAAGATAATGACATCTTTAAATAAATATTTAACCTAACATTTTTAGGTAAGTTCAAATAAAAATGACGTGCAGTACTTCCCCATTTACACCAAATCCCAGACTGTTATTTAGATAGCGCTCACTAAATTCACACTGCAATTAAAACCCTAGTCTCATTAGTCAGAACGTCGATTTTACCTTGATCTAGGGATTTCAACAAGCTATAATCCACTTTGATTGGATATCAAGTTAATTACAATTAAGAGCGAGTGTTAATTTCTCTTGGGGATTAAAGGCCTGTACGAATGTTTCAATGTCAGAGAAAGTGGTTTCGTACGTGATGTGCAACTGCAATTTTCTAATCCACACTTCCGATGCGAACATTAAAAGCTCGTTTGTAGACCAACAATGTAATATCCTGTGAGCAAATAGTTATGTAAGGGCGATGGGAAATTACAACGTTATGGTGTCACGGCTTGACATGCATCCAAGTAATATTTGACCTGAATTATAGTTTCATTCCATTACCTACATAGATCCATACTCTCAGCGATTAACCCTATTACATCGATTCGACGCACCTACGTGAGCTGTCAACGAATAATCAAATCTTTTTTATTTTTTATAACAAATACATTGACAGGTTTTCTCACGAATTTTTACTAGTTTATTTACATAAAAGTTTCACTAATGAATTCAATATCTATCGATTTGCGACTCCATTAGAGCGTAAACAAATCTTGACATTCACCTTTCATTGGCGATCGTTTATGGCGAATTTCCGGTTGGTCACCGCGAAAGCTGTCGTCGTGACGAATCCGCTATCGAGATCGACGTTCAGATCCCAAACACCCGAATACAGGTTCAAGATCACGATACTTTCGTTAAAGAAATCGTCGGTGGATGTTTCGTAACCGTCGACTTATGACCCGGCCCCTTATAAAATAACAACGTAACCAAAACATGTCGAAAGTTCGCCAAAACATTGAATTCTAACGACCGATTTATTTGATATTAAAATGCGTAGAGTATTAGAAACTACATATGTGAATCGAAGCATTTTTATTTTTATAGGCTTAGAATAGGCTCGTAAATAAAAATATATTTATCGACTACGAGTCGAGAAAACATTTATCTTGGATTTGTAGACGAGAGAGCCTAGGTTCGATTGAAATATTGTGTCGGATATGAAAACTAAACTTTCAACGTAATCGATATGGGCTGTTAAAATACTAAAATGATTGCGTCCTGTGTGCTACCTGTTGGACTCAATGGTCACTGAGTCATCAAGCATAACGAATAATGATTGAGTTTAAGTTTATTCTTGACACATTAACATCTTTATGACAGCGATTAAAATATAAAACACGTGATATTTATGGGTTAACACATTCCCGTCTATGGTTAAGATCAAAAAGTTAGTATAGTGGCAGCAGTCGTAAAAGGAAAACCTTGTTTATGGTTTGTAAACACACGTGTAAAAGTTTCAACTTTCGAGTTAGTCTATGGAGTCCTGATCGCATTAATCTTGCACAAGTACGCAGGTGGAGCGGCGCCGGCGCACCACGCTGCCACCCACTTGTCGAGACTGAATCTGTTATGACTTGGGATACTAAATACCGCTTCATTTTAGTGCTAATGTTATTTGACTGAGGCTATACAACTTCACTTGTGGCAAAGTAATAAATTCCTTTTCGGATGTAAATGTAAATTCAAATGTAAAGGCGCACAAGCACTGAAATGGAATAATAGTGTTGTGCCAGCTTCAATCCATCCGATATAAAAACATCAGACAGATTGAAAGCTTTAAATGCATTGACAGGCTATAAAGTGTCGGCCTGACACAGTTTCAGGTCAAAAATCCGAACCTAGATAAAAAGCAGCAAATAAAATTGATTATAAAAGTGCAACGACCTCTTACCATTATTGAAAATAAGGAAACATGAACATCTGTTTCTATACAAATAGTGATGTATGTTTATTTATCCGAAAGGCGAAGAAATCTAGTTTTAGTGGAAACTGGAGCAGAAGCATTCCAGGCGATTCGCGGCGCCAGCAATTTGTTAAACGGATCAACAGGTTTATTAGATGCGGTGACGTCACAACTGTGGAACAATGGCGGCGCCATAATACTGATTGTTTTCGTTGGCAAAATTTTACACATTTTGGGTGGATTGAACATGTATAGAAAGACAAAGTGTTTATACGGTGTTTTAATAAATAAATTTATATTTTATAATCCAGTCCAGTCAGCATCGACTTAGTTTCACAGTACAAAGTACTAACTTTCATTACGTAGGTACCTATATCGTATATTGAGTACTTGTTTACAATTCAATATTCTATTGTATTTATATCGACAAGATATCTACAGCTACTATTTACTTTTAGCATGTTTGTTCGTGTTTACACCGTTCCCGAGGTTGACACCCTTAAGCTGATGCGATAAAGTAGAAAACATACGTATTTATCAATAAATAAATAAACTAATACTTGTAACCTAATTTATTAATATTTCTTATGTTATTAAATCACCTTTAGATAGCAGTTTTACGTCACATCACTCAGACTTTAGTTTTATGAATTGTAGATATCGATAAAATGCTTTTATCTCAAACATTCGCAAGCGCATATTACTATGGAACAAATTAAGGAAAATAAAGATATATTGCGCACTTTAAAGTAAAGAAATGTACAACGGACTTTACGCTTACACCTAATTATCTTCCAAAGACTTGATAATTATATATTGTGAAGGTCTATTTTAGTATTAAAACACGAACTTTTGTCATTTACATATCTTTTGCGCAAAATTACGACAGCGATCGAATAAAGCGTTATCTTTTACCTTTGTGGTATGCAAATCGATGTTATGGAATATTAGCAAGTTCACCTTTGACACTATTATAAAAATTCTGTTTATAAAACCATGTTGATCTAAAAAAACATGCTATTTCTATTCAACATTTCTTCAAACAGCGGAAAAACACAAGAACATTAGCTCAGAACGCATTACAACTACCGTTAGGTAACATCGAATTATTAATCGATATTTTTATAACTTTATCGATTATAAACTAACGGCGACCAGGCAAAGTAATACCAGTTAATTGCTGAGATAAGATTATTGTATGATCGTAAAATATTATCGTAATTTGTTAGTGCAGTGATCAAAACGCTAGTCTTATGCAATGGGTACCGTGGGCGCAGCACTAGTACTTTATCGTGTTTCATTATTATTTCTCCAATAAACTTCTGTTTTATATAAGATAAGTAGCAAACATAGTTTTATGTTTTATACAACAATAATAATATTTTACAAGCAACAAGAACATACGTGGAATTCTAGTAAATGAACCTATAACTTCGAATCCTTTTTCATTTTACAATGCGGCAACACTATAAATGAACTACAAGGCTGCTCTTCACATTATTTATTTTGTCAGAGCACCCAAAAACCGTATCCAAGCTTACGTCACGCAGGTAACTTCATGACATAATGTACACAAATACTTCAGTTTGAAGTGTGCAATTTGTTTATGACTAAAACATTTCGAAGGTCACTGTAGAAGGCCGAGAATGTTCGCTATTCATAAATTAATATGTAAACTTTTGATATAATCGCGTCATTCTTTGAAACATTGACTGATTAGCTGCGATATAAAGAGGTTTTTGTTTGTTTTCATAGGAAAATCCTATCAGATCATGTATCCACAAGATGGTTTGAATTTACAATTGCTCTTCATTATCTCATTTGTGGGATCGATATCCGATCGATCCTAACTTAAAAAAAAACATATTTTTATTCTCCGAAGCAGGACGCACGTAACCTATAGAGCTATAATTTAAATAAGATGCTAGGATACTTCTTAAACATCATAACTACACCAAATAAAACTAAGCTACCCCATTATAAATAAGCAAATTACGCCAATACAGGCAAATTCCACCTGAAAGGTTCACAAGTTCAGTAATTCGAATCACTCCGCCTATCACAACTTTAATTACTCGCCTAATCAGATCATCCAATTGATAAACTGGCTGGCATGTGTGTCAAGTGATAATTAACTGACATAGGACGGTAATTAGCTGAAGAGGTGTTGCGACATTTAGGCATCGTCTCAACGACCTTGCTCTATTATGAAGACAGCTTGACGTTTTGGTGGGACGTCGAGAGTAATTACTTTAGATATTTGAGTTTTCAACCACTCGTAGATAATTCATTTTGCTAATTAGAACTGATAAGATTTGAAGGGGGTTTGTGTCAACAGTTTAGTATCGTACCTTGAGTTTCAAAACAAAGTAATGAATAGAGTTGAGGCAGTGTTCAATGAAAGTTTCGATATTTACCTGAAACAAAATAAAACAAATCATTAATACACATACGCAAATAGCTAACTGAGTAATTACATTTAGCCAGAACTTATTTTAGTACATAAAACTACAAAACGATTTCCGTATCTAAATAAGGCTCGTTTTATATGCGAAATCTGTGGTTTAGTAAATTCAATCACAAGTTCACAACGAGTCATCGATCGGTTATCCGATAAATATTCTGTTGGAAAATACCGAATGGGCGTTGAGCTAGTGATGCGATAAATCGATTGTATGTCGTGTC